AAAAATAGCAATAGATCTCTGTGGTATGTTTTTTAATTTTTTGTATATGAATGCATAAAAACTTGGTATCTATACAAAAACTGTCCTTAACTTATTGCTTGCTGTTTCACGTTTGCATCTTTGTTTGTACTCTGTAGGCTTCAGATCCCAATAAAATTATAGGAATGCAAGGATATAAGCAATCATACTTCTAGATAAATCTACTGCAACTCTACAGGGACATAGAAATTCTTTCCATCATTTTCATCATTGTTATCTTTATCCTATCATTTTCTTATTGAAGTGGAAACAATATGGAACATAACCGACATTAAGAGGGCTTCATTAAGGAAACTTCTTATGTGGTTGTTTGCTCGATTTATATTTTGAATCACATATACTCGAAGTAGTAACTAATTATTATCGTTGTTTCACAGTCTGACAATCAGAATTGATATCTCACTTTCACTTTCTAGATCTTCACTTTGCCCTTTCTCTTCAGGATTAGTAAAAGATGAAATTCTGAAAGAAATTAGAAAAATCATGTCTTGCAGTTTGCATCATGCAGTTAATCTTTTGCTGCAAGGGTGCTTCCTAAAGGTCATGGTGCATTTTTCACAAGTGCAGACTGAATACAAAGACTTCAATAGTTCTCTGGTTCTTAATGTAACACAAGTTGAGATAATAGGTTTTGAAGCTTTCACAAAGTTTTCTTAGTTCAGAACTGCAAATTTTATTCTTATAAGTGAAATGATGACTTCAACTGCTATTGGATTTTTCAAAAGATCAGAGTACTTATCGTATAATTCCAGTTCTTAGTACTTTATTTAATGTTATACATCTCTGGAAGTTGCCACAGTTTTTCTTCTTCACATATACGTTGTAGCTTTACCAATGACAAACCATTTCATCTCATGAATTTATATTTTTTATTTCAATTTGTCTTCATTCAAACCAATGTTGCTGTCACCTCAGTATTCTTTTCCTTTATTTTTGTTTATGTTGTCATCAGAGCCTGTGAAGAGGAAGCATCCCAGGATTACATATGCTGATCTTTACCAGGTGACCATACGCTTAACTTTCTGATTCTAGTAGTAAATAAATTAAAGTTATGTGGATTGGAAAAGATGTAAGAGATGTTAACATGGTTCTTGTGTTTTAATTTTTGTTGCTTGTTTAAGTTCAAGGGAACTAGTTGGGTTTTATCCAGGAATACCAAAGGTCATCATGAAACATGACTAGAAAAGCCCATCTAAGCTATAGCAGAGATTTATGTGGGCCACTAATACGATGACAGCAAAAGTCAGCAATTTTGACTACAAAACCATCATGAAGCATGACTAAAAAAGCTCAACTAAGCTAGAGTGATTGATTTATGAGGTCACTGACTGCAGAAGTTAAGACTAGAAAATTTAAGGTGACATCTCACTTGGTTTAGAATTGTCATCCTGACATTTATAGTCCTATGTTCATCTTTTAAGATATGGCAGTAACATTAGATGAGATATGAACTGTGAAGGACATGTGCAAGCAAGTGATATAACTCGAATTTTGGGAACCGATATATGTTGTCGCATAGTTGAATAATTACTCCTTCACAACAACAAGAACAATAAGGCTTAATATCCCCAATATTTGGCATCAGCTACATGAAGCTTTTCACACTATTGAGCTCAAAACCAGAGATCCCATTAGACTCGTGCCATTGCGGGGTTTAAGGGGGGGGTCAAAATATATTACCTTGTTCCTCCAACCAGAGAGAATGTTTCCATCTCAATTCTTGATCAGCCAAATCGCAAAGAAGCAATTTTACTAGTTCACCAAGGTTCATCCTCATTGAATAAAACAATATCTCTTAGTAAATTAGGAGCATTCAGATTTTTCAATTATTTGCAATAAGGTTCTTTAGGTCTCCCTTTACCACATCCTTGTCTCGTATCATTTATCATAATTGACTCCCCTTGTCTAACTATTACGTCCAGATGTCTTCTGCATGTTCCATCCTCATTGAATAAAACAATATCTCTTAAGTAAATTAGGAGCATTCAGATTTCTTTTAATTATTTGTAATAAGGTTCTTTAGGTTTCCCTTTACCACATCCTTGTCTCATATCATTTATCATAATCGACTCACCTTGTCTAACTATTACGTCCGGATGTCTTCTACGTGTTCATGTCATCTAAGACGATTATCTCTCATTTTATCTTTTATTTGGATTGCATCTAATTGAATATTTACTCTTTTTGTTTTGATATTTTCTTTTTGTTTGCTACCAGAGGATGTAGATTCTGTAGTCTTTAAGGTAAGAATAAGAATATTAATTTCATATTACCTATTTAAGAATAGCTATGCTTATTTAATAGAGGGCAACCCCTATCACCATGATAATGCTACACTTAACATTATTAAACATTCTATTGGCAAGATCCTTGTGCCCTAGGCCTCCTTATTTTTCTGGACATTGATTGTTTTATATGTCAACTCTTATTTGTCATCGAATGAGCCATAAACCAAAATTAACTAAAATATCATAATGTCCAGCTGGCTGGAGTTGTGGCTGTTGAAGTGACTGGAGGACCGACCATTGACTTTGTTCCAGGAAGACGGGTACATGATAAGGCATTTTTTTGTAACCGACTGGTCATCTGACAAAGACATACTGGTTATGCTTTCTTTTGTTGTACCAGGATTCATCAGTTTGCCCAAGAGAAGGACGGCTTCCTGATGCTAAGCAAGGTTCAGTATGGAACTTATTTATTTATTTCAGTGTCCAAAAGGACTGTAGCACTTTGCATGATGTGAATACTGAATAATTGTCTTGACATTTTTATGCTTGCTTTTCTGGAAACAATAAAAAGTATCTCCCTGATATTTATGACATCAGTTAAACTACATTTTGTATAATCTTCTGGTAGAACTTTTAATGGTTAGGATTATTATATTTTTCAGATTCTATGTTTTAATTGAAGTTTTTAAGTTTCTCTTTTTGAGTTATTTGCTGTGATATTTCAACATTTCCAATCCTGTGGAGTTCATATATTCATGCAATGGATTTGTTTTGCAAATACCAAATTGGTAAAAGTGTGTTGTTTATGTTTTATTTGTGATGCCAAGTGTTCTTGTCACATTTACTTGAATATCGAAAGACTCTTCCAGATCCAATGAGCATACATACCCATTGCTGGGGAGACGAGTTGATCGTTATTGTAAATGTACTAGGTTTTGTTCTCTAAAATGTTTCATATCATTGATATGGAGTACATTCTTTTAAATTCTTCTTTTAATGTTGATCTATAAGGGTATACCGTTGTCTACAAGCAGTCATATGTGCATATATATGTCATTTGGTTGCAGGTGCGCCCCATCTGAGAGACATCTTTTACAGGATGGGTTTATCAGATAAGGATATCGTGGCACTTTCTGGTGGACACACACTGGTAGTCACCTTATCATTTTAATTGCTGACATTGCATGAACGTTAAGTTTGTCGACTAACAAATAATTTTTCTCTTAAAGGGAAGGGCTCATCCTGAAAGGTCAGGATTTGAAGGTGCCTGGACAGTTGAACCCCTCAAATTTGACAACTCGTATTTCATGTAAGATGAACAATGAATTATTTGAAGGCAAAACAAAAAAATTTCATGGATCATTTTTATTATTGCTTACTTAAGAGCACTATGAATATGCTAGAGAAACCCACTTAAATTTGTCACTTGACAGTGAATTGCTCAAGGGAGAAACAGAGGGACTTTTGAAGCTTCCAACTGATAATGCTCTGTTACATGACCCTGAGTTTAGACGCTATGTTGAGCTGTATGCTAAGGTACACTTGATTTGTATGTTATTTTACGATGATTGGCATGTTCTTTAACTTGTTGGTTAATAGAAAATACCATTTACATACAGATACATTATAATACAACACTAGGAATATCTAGATGATTTTTTTTCTTTTCTACATTTTTATATTTTGTTCATCTCATAAGCCAATCAAAGCTAACTTTTGCTAGGATGAGGAGCTTTTTTTCAAAGATTATGCAGAATCACACAAGAAATTATCAGAACTGGGATTTACTTCACGACAAACTGGTTCTACCACCAAAACAATTGCAACTAGTGCTGTTTTAGCACAAAGTGCTTTTGGAGTTGCTGTTGCTGCCGCTGTTGTGATCCTTAGTTACTGCTATGAAGCCTCTAGGAGAAAATAAATTTGGTCAGGTTCATCTTCTGCCCCACATATCTAATGCATCCAAGTACAAGACAGATACTGTGATACTGAAGTAATAATTGATGATACGCCACAGTTTTATATTTCTTCTATTGGAATACTGTGATAAACTTGAGAGTCTTTAATGTTATTCTAGGACAAATAAATCTTTAGATTCTGAACTTAAGCATATACTACAGCACTTTGCTCATATCTTATAGTATCTGATGGTTCTTTAGACTTTCTTTGTTTGAATAAGCTCAGTAGGCACATTCGTAAACCACAGAAAGATACACATACAAGTTTCTCACATATTTATATGCCTTCAAAATTTTAGCATCCTCACACCAGCAATTCATACTGTTGGAGTTACAAAGAAAGCAGCGAGTCAAGTAATTTAGAACAATTAATAACCAACTAAGTAATTGGAACATTTTGCTTCTACAAGTGTTTGATTTTATGTCATAGAAATTTTTTGAAGCATTTGTTGTCTTGTTTAGCTAATATGTTGTTGATGCCTTCACATATAACTTGGAATGTCGTGGTCAAAATATATTTAATGGTACTAAATGCATCCATCCCTGTATATCATTACAACAATCAACCTCTCATTTGAGATATGAGATTGAATAAACTTTGACGATCTCTTTTACTTGAATGCTTGATGTGAAAATAATGACCCATAGACTTGGAAGCTTGACGTGAAATTAGTGACCTATAAACTTGGAAAATCGAAACCTACGTAGCTTCAGATGCTTCAATTGAAATTGATGATAGTAAATTCAATTTTACATGAGATCATGACCTTACATATTGATCAATGATAAAATGCATTTCATTAGTCAATAATATATATTTTTTCATATAGATGATGCGCTCCAAGCACACTTCCCACTGCTCCTCTCCTTTACCTTCACCAGCAACCCTCCTTCCATTCTCATGGTCATCAGCAACTGATGCCTCCCGCTCGCCTCCACCACCTCCATCTCGAACCTCTCCAGGATGCTCGCCGCGATCGCCTTCATCTGCACGTACGCCACGTCCTTCCCCATGCATATCCTCGGCCCTCCATGGAACACGGGGTACACGAACGGGCTCTTGGCCCGGAACACCCCCTCCTCCTCCTCCAGCCACCGCTCCGGCTTGAACTCCCTGCAGTCCTCCCCCCATATCTCATCCCTCCTCCCCATGGCATACGCGTTGTACATCAGCACCCACCCCTTCCGCATCCGCGCCCCGTCCGGCAGCTCCTCCTCCTCTGAACAGCTCCTTGGCACCAGCGGCACCGGCGGGTACAGCCGCAACGACTCTGATGTCGCCGCCTGGAGGTAGTTCATCTCCCGCAGCTCCTCCATCGTGAACGAGGCTCTGCTGCCGTCTTCCTCAGCTCGTCGGGATCGGATGAGTTCGATCTCTTCCCTTATCTTGTTCGCTACTTGGGGCTGCGAGGCGAGGACCCAGAAGAACCAGGTCAGTGCCGCGGGCGTCGTGTCGCGCCCTGCAAGCACGAAGTTGATGAGGATGTCGCGAATGAGCTCGTTGGAATTGAGTTCCCTCTGGTCGAACCGAGAAAGGAAATCGGTGCCGCCGTCCCCGCTCGTCCGCAACCTTCTCGACCGCATGCATCTGTCGACGAATCCGTGGACGATCGCCATCGACTCCCGTAGCCGCCGCTCTGACCCGATATCGAGCCACTTCTTGGCCTTCCAGACCAGCGGGAGTGGCTGCAGCGCCCGCTCGACGCTGAGGTGTACGGCGTCGCCGAACGCGCGGAAGAACCTCTCCCCCTCTTTCTCTTCGCTCCCGTGGCCGCCGCCGAGGCACCCGGGATCCTCCCCCAATACCAGGCTACAGATGGTATCAAAGGCGAAGCGCTCGAGCACATCTTGGAGATCCAACACCTCATCGCTTTGACTAGCTTCCCTCATCAAAGGGAATAACCGGCCGACGATCTCGCGGTCGACCTTGTCGAAGACGAAGGCGCGGAGTGAGGTACTGTTGAACGCGTAGCTGGCGGCCTTGCGCTGGAGGCGCCACTCCTCGCCATTGACGTTGAGGATGCCGCAGCCGAGGAAGTCGCGGACGGGCGAGATGAAGGCTCCGTGCTTGGGGTAGTTGCCGAAGTTGGCCTTGGCCATGTGCTCGACGTTGGAGGGGTTGCCGGTGAAGACGACGGGGGCGACGGTGACGGTGCCGGTGGGGGATGCGAGGATGAGCTCCGCAGACCACTCCAGTAGCCGACGCCTGTTCTTGATGAGGTGGGGGAGGTGTCCCATGAGGAAGTAGCCCTTGAGGCTGCTGCAGCCATTGGCCGGAGAGGAAAAGGGGCGTTTACTGAAGAAGAGAAGGGCGGGGCAAAGGAAAGAGAAGAGGAGGAGGGGGAGGAGGAAGAAGAGAGAAGAACCCAAGAAAAACTCCATTTCCGATCACCTTCTTTAGCCTCCTCGCAAGTAGTAGTCAATGAGAAAAGGAGTCGAGCAACTCGTGGCACATAAACATTGCGATGCCAGATCGATGCATGCGCGAGTGATCGCGAAACGCGTAGTCAAAGTTTTTATGCCAGCAGTTCTTATGAGAGAGAGAGAGATAGCTTGACGTGTTAAAAACTAAGCAATGTCGAGGGAGATGCATCACAATATTTAAGATGGTTATTTTATATAATGTTTATTTTACAGCTACTATCGGTTATTGTAGCTTCTGAATAAAAAATATTTTTTATATATGTAACGTGACATGCCACGTCGATACCGTGTTGTAATATTTAAGACTAAAACCCAAAGTGGCACAAAACGCATTTTTTTTTCTTTATTCCTTTAGGATTTTTATTTTCTAAAAGATTAAATGTGACTTTTGTTGAATCTCGATTTTTGATGATGAAATTAATGATCTAATCTATGTGTTGAGATAAGTAATGCAGGATTAACTATGATCATGAGAAAGATAAAATAATTAAAGAAGAGTCGAAGTCGGGCTAGAGTCAATGATCGGGTATCGGGCCGGATGAATCGGGAGATACACCGAAGGATTGGGGACGATGCAATGATAGCTCATTGGAAGTTCATCGGGAGTTCGCCGAAAGCTCGTCGGAAGATCGTTGAGAGTTCGCTAGAAATTTACTGAGAGTTCGATTAAACAATTGACGTGCCGGATAACTTAGATTACTTGTATCATAATTGTTTTAGCCTTATTATCATAGTTAGTATTTTAATTTGAGTTAGTTTTGAAAAAAATCATATTAACTCAATTATGGGCCAATTGGACCTTTAACAAGGCTGAATTGGGCCGATTGGATGGCCCATTCAGCCACTTAGAGCCATGTCAGGCGATGGCACTGCCTAGACTAGGTGGTGGTATCGCTTGAGGCTTAGCCTCTCAAGTGGTTTGGGCAGTGGTACCATCCAGACAAGGCAATGGTACCGTTCAAAATGGGCGGTGGTACCGCCGACAGTTAATGCTGCTAGGCAGTGGTATCGCCAGAGCCTAGTCTCCGAGGCTCTGTCAAGTGGTCGTACCGCCTAAACTAGGCGGTGGTATCACCCAGTGTTAGTCTGCAAGCGATGGTATCGCCTAATAATAACGATGGTACCGTCAATACCCTAGAAACCCGGGATGAGACACTTTTTGGCTTCATTGAAGCCATTGGGGCCTATAAATATCCCACTCTTTTCAGCATAAAAGGGAATGAAAGTGTGAACAAAAATCTTGAGATTTTGGGTTGTAAAATTTCTAAATGTCCTCCCCTTCTACTTTTATAATCATTCAAGAAGAGGTGTGAGGCTTGTAAAGGTTGTATTCTAAACTCGTGAAAAGAAAAAAGTATTGTAAGAGGGTGGTTGATCTTCATCCATTGAAGGAAGACCGTTAATGGACGTTGGTGGCCTCAACGGAGGAGGAATCGGGAGTGAATGTAGGTCACAATGACCGAACCACTATAAATTTAGTGTGCACTCTCTTTTGCTCTTCATTACTATTGTTCTTTATTTTTAATTGCTTATTACATTTACTTCAAGTGAAACATACTTTCGATATCAATTCCGATATGGGTTTCATCAAATCAAACTTTTCAAAATCATTGAAATTTTTTTAATCGAAGAAAATTTTATAGTAAGCACTAATTTACCCGCCCTCCCTCTTAATGCCGACTCGATCCTAACAGTTGGTATTGGTATCAGAGCGAGGTTTATCTCTTTTTGGTTTAATACCCAAGAGAGATGGCTTTTGCTGGCAACCAAGAGGGTTTTTCTATCACTTGTCCTCCTATGTTCAATGGAACAGACTACACGCATTGGAAAACTAGAATGAAAATCTTCTTATTTTTATGGATTTCGATTTATGGAATATTGTTGAAAGTAGTTTTGAGAAGTCTTCCAAACTAATGAATGAATGAAATGATTTGAAAAAGAGGACTTTCTCTTTGAATGATAAAGCAATGAACGCTTTATTTTATGCTCTTGATAAGAATGAATTTAATCGGGTTTCTATATGCGAAACTGCACATGAGATTTGGCACACACTTGAAGTCACACACGAAGACACAAGTAGGGTTAAAGAGTCAAAAATTAATCTTTTGATTCATAGCTATGAGTTGTTTCGTATGAAACCAAGTGAGACTATTAGAGACATGTATACCCGTTTTACAGATGTCATCAATGGTCTAAAAGCACTTGGTAAAAGTTTTTCTAATTTTGAACTTGTTAACAAGATATTAAGATTATTTTCAAAAAGTTAGGATCCTAAAGTAATGGTAATACAAGAAGCAAAAGATCTTAATAACTTTCTGCTTGAAGAATTTATCAGGTCCTTAATAACCTATGAAATGACATATATAACATAAGATAAACTTGGGAACAACCTTCCAAAGAATAGGAAGGACATGACACTTAGAACCAAAGAAGACCACTTGGGTGAAAACTCAAGTGATGACAAAGATAATGATTGACTTGCCACTTCTTATAAGAAAGTTTAAAAAATTCTTAAAAAGGAACAAAACAAAACAAGACACTAAGAAAAAAAGTGAATTAAAAAATGACCAAGTAATTTGCTATGAATGCAAGATACCGGGGCACTTCAAAAATGAATGTCCCTAAGTAAAGAAGAAGCAACCAAAGAAAAAAAAGGCGCTCAAAGAAACTTGAGATGATTCGATTGTATCCGAAGACGAGGAGCCAACTAACAAAGAAGAAGTTGCTAACTACACTCTAATGACGCTCAATGACGAGGTAAGTGACTCACTCGAATCTCATTTAGTTTATGATAATTTACTTATCTCTTTCAATGATCTATATGATGAATGTAAGTTAGTTGGTAAAAAATATAATTTGTTAAATAAGGAGTATACTTCTCTTATTGAATTTAATAAGTTAGTGAATTTAATAAATTAAAAAATGAGCATGATGATAGTATGCTAGTTTCTTGCACTAAGTGTGATGAAATAGATTCACTTAAGAAAGAAAACTCTACAAGAAATGCTAGAAAAAATTAAAATAGAAAATAAATATCTAAACATGATCCTTGCTAATAAGAGTTATGTTTATAGAAAGGAAGGAATTAGCTTTGTGAGTAACATTTAACAAAAGTCAACTATTTTCGTTAAAGGACCTACATTACATGTCTCACCTAGATAAAAATATAATTTTTGTGAAAAATATGATCATTTTGCCTACAAATGTCCATTTTAAAAATATAGTCCACACAAATTAGTTTGGGTTCCTAAAGGAACCATAAATCACTCAATGATAGGTAGATATATTTATGAAGAACTCAAGGTTAAATAGGTACCTAAAAGAAAATCTCATTTCTTGTAGATATGTCTACAATCACAATCTAGGAGTAAGAGATAGTACTTTGATAGTAGATGCTCAAGGTACATAACCAGAGATCCAACACACTTTTCTAAGCTCACTAGCCAAGACAAATGATTTGTCACCTTTGGAGACAATAACAAAGGAAAATTATTGGGAAAGGAAATATAGGTAACAAATCAAACATTTTAATTGAAGATATTATTAGTAGATGGCTTAAAATATAATATACTAAGCATTAGTCAATTATGTGATAAAGGATATATTATCAAATTTGAATCTAATGCTTGTCTCATTGAAATACTACACAAAAATAGATCTATGATTGTCTTAAAAAATAATAATGTGTATATTATTGATATTGATGATTTTTACGATGAAACGTGTTTTTTGGCTTTAGACAATGATACATGGCTTTGACATAGGAGATTAGGTCATGCTAGAATGAAACTAATCTCTCAAATTTTAACTAGAGAACTTGTAAGAGGAATGCCTAGCATGAAGTTTGTCAAAGACAAAGTTTATGATGCATATCAATTAGGAAAAAAAATAAAAAGTAGTTTCAAATTAAAAAATCAAATAAGCATCTCTACAATTGATCCATATAGATTTATTTGGTCCAATTGATATAATAAGCCTAGGAGGTAGTAAATATACATTTGTAATTATTGATGATTTTAGTAAATACACTTGGACATACTTCTTAGCTCACAAAAGTGATTGTTTTAAATATTTCTCGAAATTTTGTAAACTTGTTCAAAATGAAAATGGTTTTATGATTTTATCTATTCATAGTGATCACGATGATGAATTTCAAAACAATGATTTTTAATTTTTTTTTGAGTCAAATAGGTATAACCACAATTTCTTTACTCCAAGAAATCTATAATAAAATAGAGTAGTTAAAAGAAAAAAAATAAGAGCTTACAAGAAATGGTAAGAACCATGTTAATCGATCATAGCCTATCCAAATATTTTTGAACTGAAGCTGTTAACACGATATGCTATATCATGAACAAGGTTCTCGTAAGACTATTACTTTCCAAAACTCCCTATGAATTATGGAATAACAAAAGACCCAATATATCATATTTTAAAGTTTTCGATTGTCAATGTTTTGTTTCAAATGAAAAAGATGCCTTAAGAAAATTCAATACTAAATCCAATGAATGTATTTTTCTTGGTTATTCCTCAATTTCTAAAGCCTTCCGTGTCTTTAATAAAAGAACTTAAGTTATAGAGGAATCCATTCATGTTATTTTTAATGAGCTTTCCAAATTTAAGAAAAATAATTTTGATGATGATTTTGATTTTAATGCTTTAATTTTGAATGAACACTCTCTTCCCTCAAGTAACTTGGATGCATCTTCTTCCAAAGAATCCTTACCTAAGAATTGGAAGTATATATATACTCATCCTAAGGAGCTAATCTTTGGAGACATATCAAAAGGTGTTCAAACTAGTTTTTCTTTTAAAAAATTTTATGCGAATGTAGTCTTTTTATCTTAAATTGAACCTAAATGCATTGATGAAGCTATAAAAGATTATTCATGTGTCTTTGCAATGCATGAAGAATTAAATCAATTTAAAATAAATGAGGTATGGAAGCTTGTTCCTGGACCTAGTGATCATTTGGTAAATTGGTACTAAATGAGTCTTTAGAAATAAGTAAGATGAATTTGGTATCGTGGTTAGAAATAAGGCTAGACTAGTGGCCAAAGGTTTCAACTAAGAAAAATGTATCAATTATA